TTGTGATGTTAAATTTTATCTATTTATAACAAAACAATTTATGAAAAACAAATATGACAGGCATGAACCAATGACAACCACTGATCTACAGGCTCTAGACTTGGGGCAGGCACATAACGAATGTGGCTGGGTTGAACATGTTTGTGAATGCTCAACCCCCCCCCCCCCTAACCTGGTACAGTGTTGTAACATCACAACATAAGAACAAAGTGTAAAACTCAAAAGATCGGTACGAGACACAAAAACAACTAGCATTACCCTCCTTTTCCCAACTATACATTTTAAGCTATACATATTCATTAATTAATGGATTGTACCTCAATTCATGTATATATAATCCACTCTTTCACAAAGTGCAGCTCAGCTGAGACCAATAGATAAGGGACATCCAACTAAGACAATATTTTACTTTCATCATCTTGCATTTATCTGGGCGCTTTTCTCTGTTCAAACATTGGTCTAGTATTTTTCAAACTTCTCTTAAGATTTCCTATTGATATTGATAAGAATTGTATTGCATTATTATGTATAATAGCAGCATGTTCAGAGCTAGGACTTTTATACTATTAGTGACTTATCATTTTTTACCTGGGAGGGGGGCTGGTCAAAATGTAGGGGGGGTCAAGTTTTTTTATAAATTCAAAGTGGGGAGATCAATTTTATTTGTAATAAAATATTTTTGAACTTTTGAATCTTCACGTATATCCTACATATCATGTGTATCAAAGGTTAGTGTTTTGCATGTTAAAATTTTGGCAAGATTGATAGAGGGGTTACATTTTTTTTAATTGTTTTAAGGGGGGTAAAATAAAAATAGTGAAATATTATGGGGGATCAAGAAAAGTTTTTATGTTTGATTTCAAAATGATCAGCCCCTCTCCCAAGTAAAAAATGATAAGTCCCTAACAATATATCATGTCCCAGGTCAGAGGTAAGATTTATTTCTATAATTTCATTATTTGATAAAATGCTCCCCTAGGCGCAAGCTTGATACGACCGCAGAGGTCGAACCCTGAACAGTTGAGGCAAGTATGGACACAACATGTAAGCTTAAAACAGCTCTGAATTTTGATTATGATTGAATATTTGACACAGCATAGGTTTGTGACACAAAATAATAGTGGTCAAAGAACTGAAGTTTGAAATTGGACATTTACCTATTATGGTCCAATATCCAAAATCTAAGTTGCTTTCAATTTGACAGCTCATTTCTTGTTTCTTCTAGAATCCAACTGAATCAATTGACAATCATTCCATATATTTTAATTTTCCTCCTCAGTTTTTTTAACGTCGTCGTGCTTCATATGAAAAATAATGAAACACAGGCACATATCCAAACCATCATAACAAAGGATGACGCAGTCCTCTGTGGTCATTAATATTAATTCATATCTAAGTGTTCTGTATACATTTACTTGCTTGCACGATTAACTACCGATAATGATATTTTTGAAACCTTTATCAGTCCGAACGAAAACCTTCTTGACAATGCATACAGCGTTATAGAAGTAATTGTATAGAATGATAATCAAATGAGCGATTCGAGTTCCCAATTTCTCAATCCTGTTATATATTAATATATGACCCTATAAAACAATGGTCGCTTTTTCTGGTGATACAAACTTTGCCACTGATTGTTTCAAAATACTCTACGACAAGTATGAATGACTGTTTTTCGATGTATTATAACAAGCCAACGACGTTTTTAAACTGCAGCTAACCGCAAAATCACATCAACCGCATTGCAGATCTTAATTAGTAATAATGAGTAAATACAAATATCATGAAATTAATTATTTTATCATTTAAATTCTTAATAAAAAAAAATTATTTGGTGAAATAACAGTTGAGTCATTTACGATTAGAAGCAATACAGTACAAACTTTTCTTGCTGGTTCGATGGTTGTACAAATGAATGTTTTATGTGTTTTATATTTTCCCAAAATGTATGTATAGTTTTTTTTTTTTTTTTTTTTTTTTTTTTCTTTTTTTTTTTTTAATTCTATATAATTTTATTTGAAATGTACATTTGTTAGAGATACATAAAGTACTGGTACCTTATCCTGGTCTCGTTGACGTTAGTATATAGCATTTCATAAGGTTAGTACTTGTTAGTACACAACATACAGTTTTGCTAATAAATAATGTGTAACAGAATAAAAAGAAATTACTATGATATATTATAAATCTTAGTTAAGAAGATAAATTAATTTTTTCTGCAACCAAATTGTAGAAGTTTTTTTATGTTATTATTTTTCTATTCATCAAGGACATTATCCTGAATTTCATTCAAAAGTTTTAGTTCTTGTTCTTATTCTTTAATTTCATCTCTTTTACTTTTAGCTTTAATTTTACAATGTTGAATAGTCGTCTCCTTTACCTCTATTTTAAACAGATCCCACACGATTGCTAAACCTTTTCGGTCTCTTAAATTTTCATATTTATCTATTAAAGTGGGTTTTTTTTCATTTTGTATGATTCGTCTTTAAGAAAACTATTGTTTAATTTGAAATAACCCTTTCCTTTCTCCCCCTGACAATGATTTATCTTAAGTGAAATCGCTAGATGGTCTGTATATTGAATTGTAGCGGGTCTTATATCAGTGTGGAGTACTCTAGGTCTCATGTCTTGACTAAAAAGAAAATAATCAATTCTACTAGCTACTTCATTATTTTTTCTTCTCCAGGTATATTGTATTTTATTTGGATTTATTACTCTCCAGATGTCTATAACTTTTAGCTTTTTTATTAAACTTTTCAACGCATTTTGACAGCTCATTTCTTGTTTCTTCAGCACTATTTTAAGCTTATTTAGTAATGTTAAGCATTAATTCTTAGTTAAATCAATTCATTGGCCCCAAAACTTTTAACGTTGGAAATTAAAAGAATATTATAACTGCGAAAGAGTAAATAGTCAAATGACACGCATCATTTGGTCAAGCCTAAGGGAATCTAAAACTTATTTATTATCCGAAAACTCAATGTAATGAGATTACAATTTTACCCAAACAATTAATTAGGGACTGATAGACTAACATAAGAATCCTGAATTTGATCAAAAGATGGCATCTTTCATTTGCTTAGTCCATGACAGAGAATTGAAATAAAGTGATAACTTGTCAGATTATTGAAATATATTTTCTCCGACATATCAGTCTGTATACCAGTGTTGTTACACAAATGGTTTGAAGATAAAAAAATAAGGTGATACGACAAAATGAAACATGAACAATTATATACCATAAGCCAAACAAAAGAAGGAAAGAAAAACAGAAAGACAGGCATATGTTTTACACTAGTCATTTTGGGGCCTTTTATAGCTTCCTGTTCGGTGTGAGCCAACACTCCGTGTTTAAGGCCGTACTTTTACCTATAATTGTTTACTTTTTACACATTGTGACTTGGATGGAGAGTTGTCTCATTGGCCCTCATACCACATCTTCTTTTTCATATATATATGGTTCAAATTGAAGATCTTTCCAAACTATGTGCCGCCATTAGGGTTGCACATCAAGGATATAACGCCTTCAACAATATGTATATAAATCAGCAGATATGGCATGATTGCCAACGAGCCAACTATCAACCAGAGTTCAAATGAAGTAATACACTAATACTATTATTTATAAACAAATCAAACTGTTTTCTTGAGAGAAAAAACATTACAATTTAATTATTGAGACAAGACAAAACATGATTTCAATAATTTTGTAGATTAAAACATACAACATACAAATATATTAAGAAAATATCTGAATCTAATATACTGGTGATTAAAAACAATAACAATAATATGGCACTTTGAACACAATTTAGAGTTTCGAAAATTTGAACACAAAAATAAAACTTATTTTCCATCGCTCAACGAGCCCAAAATAAGGAAGAAAAGTGACGTGTCGCACGACATATTACTGTGAACAATATATCTGCTGTCGTTAAGGTTGCACACTAATGATATAAATCTTTCCAACATATATGCCCTCTTTAGGATTGAACACTAAGGATGTTTACTTTTCCAAAATATGTGCAGCCTTTAGGATTGAACAACAAGGATATTAATCATTCCACACTATGTGCCATCTTTCAGGGTGCACACTAATGATAGAAACCCACGTGCCGTTTTTGGTTTCATTTTTCATGTTCTGTGAGAAAACCAATGACACGAGAACAATAGCAAAATTACTCTTTTTATATAAAATATTCAATAGATTATTTATGCCGGTAACCATACTAATTGAAAGTTATATTTGATCCATAATCGAAAATTTTAAGAAAACTGTTAAACTATATCATTTACAATATACATGCAAATACATATTCATCAGCTCCAGAGCCAGGCGTGAAGTAGAAAATGGCTAAACGATGTATAAAAGTATTTGCGTAGGAAACATTAAAACAAATTATTCTAACTTGGAAAAACTAACGTATAGTTCGTTGTTGTATGCCCTTTGGTGACGTTTAACGCGACGAATTAAAGATAAGAAAATATTGAATCGAATTGGTTTCGTAAATAAATTTACAAATCGCTTAATCGGGCTAATAAAGACAATTTACATGTCACTATATCATCAAAAGCGGAAAGTACTTAAAACAAATTAAGACTATTGAATAATATTAATGTATAAGTATACTGACATCATTCGCCGAATTAGTATACTAGTATTTGATAGTGCTATTAATAATTCAACACCGTAATAAAGCTGTATGATGAATTTCGAGTTTGGTCTTCTCAGTGATAAAATGCGCCTCACAACTCGATGAGATTTTTTTCTAAAAGTTAGTGTTTGGTATTTAAGTAAGATAACAGAGTGCGAACAGTAAAACTGTAGATTCGTCTATTCGAATTTATTATAGTGTTTTGTTTTTCTTTGCAAACATTTAAAATTTTGTTCCGTGTTCATCGGTTAGAAAAGAGCACCATTTAACTACTTCACAGTTTGACCTTTGTGTATCTTTGATAGTAACACCAGTTTTTTCATCTTTAATACCTAATTGTCAAAGGATTTCGTTAAAATATAATTGAAGTATCTCAGTAATTGAACAAGTTAAACCGCAGTTCATATAGTCATCACATTAGGGGGTACATGGCATGTGTTGCTATGGCACACTGGTCGTTCTTGTTCCTTGACATCAATATGTATCCATCCATTCCCCATGTGGTTCCCCAGCTGAAATGAATAATTTAATAGCTCAATTTAAAGTGAAATAGAAATATACATAACAATCTATATAGTTGTATTACGGGTATTAAAGTTTTAAAATTTCGAAATGCTCGTAGATATTCCACTTAAATGCAATTTCAGTTAATTTTTTTCAATCAGAAAAAACTAAATCAGTTAAAATTGTTGACATTGCAACTAATATTCATCAGATAGAACCGAAAATAATCAAATTAAATGCTAAAACATAAACCACTTAAAATTGAATAAAATTTACAGGAAAAGAATAGTATTTGCTGGTACCTGTTTTTAACAAGCCAATAATCATCGTTGCTTTGCGTGCCATATCCAACAACCAGGATACCGTGATTTATGGTGTAAGACTTGCAGCTCGGATTATTGAATACACCTGCAATTGTTTTGAAAGTATAATCAAATATTGTTTTTTAAATACACTGTACGTCATCTCTTCAAATCAGACAAATATAAAAGATGTTTTTATTTTTTTAAATTAGTACGAATTAGAGATATTTCAATACTTGCGACTTCAGTAACGTGCTAAAAATAAGAATAAGGACGTTAGAAATAAACAAAATGCACCAGTCAACAATCTGCTATTAAATTATTCAATTTTAAATGATTAACAAAAGATTTGGGCATATGTGACACCCAATGAAGCAAACAACCAAAAACATCAAAGGGCAATACAAGTGTGTCGTAAAATTATTGCATGCTATAAATCTCTCCGAGTCTATAAAAGTAGAGCATAAAATTAAAGATACTTAATAAGACAACCATCGACAAATTTCTAGACTTAGGACATTCACCAAACACAGGGACGCTTAAAAGTATCAATATTGACACTGCTTAACTAACTTTAAAATGTACTGTATATCCATTATATAATACACATTCTAATATAACGTGCTTACTTCGATTTGTAAACAACACCGTGATAAAATTCTCGATATATCTAAACTTAGCGCAGACTCAGAAATGTACATATTGGTGGCTGTTACTATTTACCTCCCACGTAAATCCACATATTTCGAAACCTATGTGCAAACACTATGTTGATTTCGTTGTTAAAATCAAAATAAGATAAAATTCCACAAAATTTCATGAATGATCTTAGCGCATTAACGTCTTGTCATTTCATGATGTCATACGAATAAAAACTCTCAAGCTGAAGGTTTTCCGTTACGTTTACGCAGTAAGTTCGGATAATATTGCATTAAAATTGAGTTTTGAGGTAGGTGTTGTTTCATTTTCTGTTCTATTGCATAATTCGCACATTTGTTGATTTCAGCAAGTCAACATGGCGGCTCACTCCTTAGTTACGACTTGTCAACTCTGGATTTGACAGTAAATAGTAGCCAAAGAAAATAAAATGTTGGGTTAAGAATTATGAGAATTTAACACATTTTTCTAGTTGTTATTTAAGAAATAATTCATGTAAGACTTAGATTTATTTGAAATTGGTAGCTTTTATCTTACAGGGGGTAAAACAGAACAGCCATACACACGGCAATCTTACCTTCGCTCCTTTTTTTAAATTACCGAATTGGTTCTATTAGAATCGAAATAATTCATGGAATTCATAGATTTGTTGGACATTTACACTTAGCCTTGGCAGTGATATTCGTTAATTTTACTCTTCGTTAACGCTCAGGATAAAATTCGAATATCACGGCCCAGGCCATTTGTAAATGTCCAACAAATTTATGGCTTCCATGAATTATTTCTTAATTATCTAATTCTTAGCCGATTAATAAATACCTTCCCCTACCAGTTTGATTTTTTTAATGAATTTCTATATCTTTTAATCTTAGTTCTTCATTGATCAAAATTCATTGACGGCTGTACCCCTATTTGTGACATTTTTACCTATTACGTCTGTTTGTTTTTCTAACACATTTTTGTTAATATAATTGAATTCTATGCGACTATCATACTAGTGAGAGATTTAGCTAGCTATAAAACCAGGTTTAATCTACCATTTTCTACATGAGGAAATGTCTGTAGTCAAGAATAGGAAAGTTGTTTTCCGTTTGTGTCATGTGTTTGAGCTTCTGGTTTTACAATTTGATAAGGGACTTTCCGCTTTGAATTTTCCTTGAATATTTGTTATTTTACTTTTTTCAAATATAAAGGGGAACAAATTTAACCAAATTTAACTGTTTAAGATTAATTTTTCGTATACACGGTATAAACATATGAGCAACTTATTGTATTAATTGCATCATTCATTAATATATACATAGTACCGTTCTCTATATGTTATCTATTCATTGGAGTATTTTTTAACATTTATTTTAGTTTACAGAAAATGTATCTCAGGGAGTAACTATCATATATCACGAGAAATACTACATGAAATTAAAATACATCAAAGATAAAATTATATATTGAAATAATTCAATATTGATAATCTGGATACATATGTAACCTTTGATAATAGATATGATATTGCGAATTATTGTTCTAGACTTTAATAATCACTGCGAGTTAGCTAAGGTTCTAACTGTTTCCTATTCTGGATTCAATATCGTCTTTGCAAGCTCCAATACAACCTATTCACGTAAATCATGAGATGATATGTGACATATGCAAGTGCTCATCAAATGTGTCTTCATATGAATGGAAATTCGCTAATTGGGAAAGATGAAGATATGATCAGGTCGTTTTCATTCCTTGGTCTCGAAAATTCGAAAGTATAATGAAAATATTTAATAACTACGTTACTGAGATTGTGTACGACACTCATTGGTCTATTAATATGCTTGAATTTGATCTTACATATTTGATTAAGGCATTATAATTCGCGCAATTAGAGAATAAAATGCAGACGGTTTCCATAATTTACGAAATATACGACATTTTTACATTCGACTTTAAAAACGTCTGGCTTGAATCCTATATATTGTTCAAAGGTAAATGTATAACAAGACGTGAATAAACTTCGGTATCTTACATGTACTTAACATGATGTCGATGTTCAGTACTACTGATCAACAACGTGACAAGTCAACAGTATGCCATTTTGTCTTAAATATACAAAACCAGAAGAGACGCATACATGTTAAACATATGCTGTATTGATTACCATATTTTATGATAATTATACAGGTAGAATTTGTAATTCATTAATTTCAAAGATATTAACCTCGTTTGTACAACTGAAAGTTTCGATCCACGTAAATGCATGCCGAAACAGGTCCTACTGTTGCGACAGCCTGCTTCATCTGATTTTCATCTCCATTTCTGATCCCAGTGTATCCGGTGATAGAAGCTCCAATATTAGATTTGGTGTAACGGCAGTTTCCAACCTGTATCATAAACAAAACACATGTACCTGTGAACATTTTCTAATACGGATTTTATGATTGCAATACTATCATTACAATGAATAAAATGTATAAAATGTATACGAATTGATAAAAAACAAATGATGTTATATACTCCATGGTGCTGAAAATGAAAATGATAAATCGTCCTTCCGATCTTTACATGTGGATGTGTGATGGATGTGGTAGTAAGGTCTACATTCCGCAACTGATTATCGGGGCCACATTACCGTTACTCATTTTCATACTTAAATTATTCCCATTGATCATCAAGATTTTACGAAGAACTTAACTGAACATGAAAAATTTCCCGAGTTACAGCTATCTTCTTTTCAATCAAACAGCTACCTGGTTATTTCATTAATTCATGTCAGTTTTACAACAATTTTAATATTAAGCCGTATCACATTCGTTCGTTGGCTTTTAAAATCTTGGTTGTAAGCGTTCCTTATGATGGTAAAGCAAGATTAGCGTTGGACGCACCAAATTTATAAGCTGTTATTTTTATTTTCCTTAACGTGGGTGCTTGTACCTCATATCTTGGATAGATCGAATTAACCCACATTGACTTATTTACAAGTATTACTTCATGTAATTCAGTTTTGTTACCTTTCCCTCGTATGGGTAGCTATTTTCTGTATCTATGCCTTTATTATCTTTGACGTATTTAAATGAAGGAGGTAGCATACCTCCATTGCAGCCTCTGTTGCCTTAAATTAAAACAAAAAAAGTTTTTTTTTACTATGACATCAACTTTTGTTAATTTACACTTTGCAATAACCTAATTCTAGATACACTAATTCGTGAAAGTTATTTTAATTATCAGAACTTATAACTGTGTGACTTGACTCTAGATACATGTATATAGATTGTTTGCATAGTCTGAGATACACCATTCCTTCATTTGAGACAGCTAAGGTTTCACATTTCTTAACGCAAGGCTGGCTAAGCGTTATGACTTTTCAAGAGTGGATTTATATAGCACAGCACGGGAAATAGTGCTGGAATTTGTTGATGTAATGATTTGAACTAATTTGTTTGTAACTTTAAATTTTTTTTTTAAATGTGTTGTGTTCGAGTGTCGTCATCATACAAAAGACGTCACAATATCAAAATAAGATGGCGACAATAATATAATTTGAACACCATAATTGGATTTTGAAAAATTAAAAACTGATAACAAGAGAGGGGAAAAGGTTAAACGGCTAATTGTTAAAGTCAACTAATATCTGTAAATGATAGAAATGTGTAAGTAGCGTCAATGAGAAAGAAAACACGTCTAGAACTTTCTAAATACACAAAATATAAGAATTCTTCAAATAATGTAAATACATCTGACAGAAAAGAGTGTGTGAAGAGACTGTAGCTTGCTTTCAATGCGCATGGGGATGTCAAAAATATTTTTTTACTATTTGCAGCAATTGACACTAAAGGTAAATGATCGGAAATTGCAAAAATTCATTTACCTCTTGGGATAGCTAAGATGTATAAAATAATATAACGGTTCCCTTCTTCTAACTTACAAACACAATGTGATATATTTTATCAGTGTGTCATTATAGTTGCCACTGATTCATTTAAACTTAGAATACAAAGGTGTGGTATGATTGCCAATGCGTCAACTATCCTACAGAGACCAAATGACGTAGAAATTAACAACTTATATGTTATACATTATTTTTTTTTTAAATTGACGTATAGTACTATTTACAATTTATTTATATAAAAAAATAAACTGCTGGCTTCCTCTTTTTCTATTTTATATCCACCAGACTTCATTTCTAGAGAAGAATTTGAGTGGTATCAGATCAGTGATCTGTACAAGGTATTACTGCTTATATTACTATCTCATTATTACTTAGTCCGATTTTTTTTAAAATAGTCACATTCCGTTTAACGTAAAGGGTGAATTGTTAAACTAAAATTAGAATTAGCAACTGTATATCCATATTTGGGCTTTAGTTACATTATAGATGAGTACACATTCATTTCCATTAGGTTCATTGAAAAGCATAATATTATGATTCAATATCATATTATTTGTTCGAATATTTTCGTAGAATAGATAAGAAACAATATTTTGAAAAAGTCTATTAAAATTTATACATCTCAATTGATTGAAGTATGTTTTTTCAAAATTGAAGATAGTTGTTTAGCTACATACAATCTGTTCGCGACCATCTAAGCTAGTATAGATAAGCATAAATTCAATTGCAATGAAAAGAAGACCCCCTGATATACATAGCCATTGAAACGACGCTGGATGAATTTGACAAATTTGACAGCCTTTTTTGTCTCTTCATTGTTTTCATACTCGTAGCTTCTAGCATTAGATTACAAAACTTACCGTATTTAAATGAACAGTCCATTAGATTTTGTTCCGATAACGCTACGAGTTTCCCTGTTTTCCTGAATTGCTGACCCTCTAATGATCCTACAGCTGAGAATGCCCAACATGATCCACATTTTCCCTGAATAGACGAAAATATGCAATTAACATGAAAACGAGACACAGCTGTTCCTAAGTGAAAGAAATTACCTTCTTTTCATACCATTGATCTTTCTATTGTCCCAAGCAAATTTGACTTACATTGACATAATACTAAAACTTTGATTTCACCATGCTAATTTGATATGATTAAAATGCATGGCTAAAAACCAAAATAAACACATTTATGTTCAAAATAATGTAGTGGTGGTATGCCGTAAATTCTACACGGACGTTCTTAAGAATGAAATTTTGAATTCATCTACATTTAAGTCCGTGCGCTCCACAGAGCGTCATATAGTAAACAAACATAGCATTACACATAGCATAACCACATCACAGCTTAAGGCCTCTTCTGATAATTTGAAGGTCCCTACTATGTATTGGTTACCTGGACTAAACAAATATCTCGGCCTCTAGTAAGTGCTCTAAAACTGATCTTTCAGTGCTTTTAACTAGTTCCTTAACTACTATCAAAGAACTTATCATAAACTTTTGTTATGAAGCACAGTGTATGACTAAACTCAATAAAGACCCGTCTAAATTGCATTTAAGGTAGCTGGGGTGTCTAAATTATAATCCATAGAATTTTTTAATAATTTGCCAAAATGTAGTTTATATCATGCTTTTTTGAAAAAAATAATAAAAAGAATGGGTCACGGGGCTTATTTTCACGCTACAGGTTGTGTAAAATTGACAGATTTTGTATAGATTATGCATGGAAAACGCAATTTTCTGCCATAAAACGAAAACTACACCATAGAATTTTGAGATAAAATATGAGAAGATAGCTCTAATATTATACTCTCAGATAGGAAAAAGAAAAAATGGGGCCACCGGGCCCGTTTTCTTGCTACATAAAAAAATTGATAAATTCCTAACACATTCTATTGTAAAAGTAACTTTATCTGAATTATCTGCCCTTACATTTGAGTTGCCTCCCCTTATGTGGCAAATTTGGAAAAAATTGAATCAAACAAAAGTATTCTGTTTTTTGTAAAATACAACCATAAATATAATAAAACATGTCATTTTCTATGTTAAAATGAAAATTCTTAAACATGAATTACCCACTACTCTCAAAATTTGCACATTTTATTAAAGGTCTAGACCAATTATTTTCTGGTATTTCAAAATCCAAGATGGAGGAAGACACCCTATCTACCTTAATTGATAAATTCAACAACATTTACCGTTATCTTGATGACATTGTTTCGTTAAATAATCAAGAATTTTCTAAATATACCGACGAAATTTACCCAAAGGAACTTATTTTAAATATATCAAATGTAAACGGTAATAACTGATCTAGATATTTCAGTTTTACACGGGAAACTCAACCCTACAATTTACGACAAAAGGGACATTTTTTCGGTCCCTATTGTTTATTTTCCTTTTTTGGATGTTTCCTATTGCACCATCTTACTGTGTTTATATTTCACAACTCGTTTGCTATGCCGGTGTCTGCTGTGGCGTTTTAGATTTTCACGAACGTAATCTATGTATGAATGGTAAATTATTAAGTCAGGGATTTCGTTACCACAAATTACTTAAAACGTTTACTAAATTCTTCCAATGATTTAGTTTTGAGGTTTGGTTGTACCTTAGAAAACTTATTTCAAACGGGATAGCACATCCTCATTTTTACGAAGATGTTGTTTACCGTGCCCGGAAATTTAGAAATGATCCTTGTAAACTTATCGATCCTTTAAATAAATTTATTCTAAAAGGTTACCAATTCCATACTGTAATTAGATCTTTGAATATTGTTTTTATTGGTATCAATATTGATTTTGCTATCAGTAAATTAAAAGCAAACTAAATATCATTGTTATATACATATGCACTTTCATGGATCTACAATCTGTCCATTCCTGTATCTAGGCATTGCACAAGGTCATGTTTTTCTCTGACTGTTTATGACGTCTTTACACTAAATCCACTGGATGTTGGATGTGTACTGGTTGATAATTTAGTCTTAGATGCATGATTTTATATTTTTAGTTGTTTTTGGCTTTGAACTAGCTGTCAGAAACTGCGAGTACTCTCAGATCTGTACTTAGTGTCTTTTTGTTGTTAAGATTTACAAGTACCCGGCCATGTCCACTCTGTGTTTTTGTTAGATGTATTTCTATTTGTATCCATCAAATGAGTTAAGGTTGCACTTTGTAAATACAGCAGTTTCACAAACCACGCCTCTTTTGGGGAGATATATGATATTCATAGATATTTAGTTTTGTTTACGTACTGGTTCCCAGATATTATCCCTATGTTTCATCTCATAGATACCACACTTGGGAATGTTACCAATATAAATAAAAAATAAATAGCGGCAGCCTTGAATTCTGAGGGAGTCAAAAAGTGAAGGTAGGGGTGATACATAATTTGAGCATAAGTTTAAACTCTTAGAAGTTCGGGGCATATAAATGTTGAAAATATGCCGCACAGCCCTATATTTTGACCTTTGAAAAAAATAGTAGTGCATATGAGCTTTCCATTCTAGGATATATTTTTTTCGAAACTTCATGGTAAAAGTGGTACAGTTTTAACCTTTAAAAGAGTTCCTATGGAAACTTGCATTGTCTATATTTACAGACATGCAACTTTAAGCCTTTTTCAACTGATTTTTATAGTTCGTTCTTATGTTGTACTGTTACACCACTGTCCCAGGTTAGGGGGAGGGTTAGGATCCCGCTAACATGTTTAACCCCGCCACATTCTGTATGTATGTGCCTGACCCAAGTCAGGAGCCAGTAATTGAGTGGTTGTCGTTTGTTGCTGCGTTACATATATGTTTTTCGTTCATTTTTTTGTACATTAGCTAGGCCGTCAGTTTTCTAGTTTGAATTGTTTTTCATTTGTGATTTCAGGGCCTTTAATAGCTGACTATGCGGTATGGGCTTTGCTCATTGTTGAAGCCCGTACGGTGACCTAAATTTGTTAATTTTTGTGTCTTTTGGTCTCTTGTGAAAAGTTGTCTCATTGGCAATCATACCACAGCTTCTTTTTTATAAATAAACGAAAAGAAATATGATATACAGCAACAAACGACAACCACTGAATTACAGGCTCGTGACTTAGGACAGGCACATGCACATGTGGAGGAGTAAATTCATCTTTTTTAAGCCAAACAGTGACTTCGGCCTGTTGGTGCTTACATCCCTGTCCATGGTACTTGTTGTCTATATTACACTTTACTTAGGGTAACCCAGTCCAATAATTATCACCTTTGCGTTGACATGAAATATTATTGAATTTTCATTTTCTGTTAATCTGTAGAATGTTGAATTATTTGAAACACTCAGGTTTTGCTACATCAAAAGCATAGATGGTCTCGTCCGTATTTAGCAGAGTTATTTGGTATGTTTGGAATTCGGTGCTGTTCAACGTTGAAGCTGATATGGCCTTTCAATTGTTTTGATTTGGGTGCTGCTGATTAGCCTTATTTAGAGAAAATCTCGTACTAAGTTATAATAATGGTATCTTTAATGAGTTTTTGCCATATCACCTTATTTGAGTGTTATGAATCTGTAACTAGAATAACTGTACCTGGTCTTTCACAGGAGTTACATAGCCCTTCTGTCTCCAGTCCACTTCACTGGGGATCTCAACATTATTTGGAGGGAGGAATGTAGAACCTTCACTGATGTTTCTGTGTATCATTCCACCTGTCATTGTCTCGATCACCTCATCAATCGACTACAAAAATCATACAACTTAACGCAATACGATCAGTAAAATTGATTGCTTAAGAAAACAATTGAAAAAGTGTCGTACCTGGAAGTTTATTTGTGACTACTTCCAAAAGGAAAGCATTCATGACGGAATGTTGACAAAATGCGGGATTTTCTCGCTGTGTTGAAGACCCATTTGTGGCCTTGTGCTGTTTTCTGCTCTTTGGTCGGGTAGTTGTCTCTTTGATCATAATGCAATTTAATTTCAAAGAAAGCGTGCGACTACAAAATTATTTATTTATTTTAAAAAACGAATTGTCATCACAATATTGTAAATTAATTTATGAAATGAAAAATCAGTTCTTATCAATATTTTGCATAGTTTTAAATGTCGTACACCATTCATTCACACCATTCCCGATCGCACGTTACACTATTACACCTTTCCCCTTACACCATACACCATAGCACCATACACCTTCTACCATTGCACCATATGCCATACACCATTACACCATACACGTTTTTTTGGGAAGTTTACACCATTCAACGGCTGTAGTTCATCTGAACTTTCCATCCAAGGATATACTTTCTTATAAACTTCATGCAAAAGTAGCGCCTTTATTTGCGTAAAATTATCTTCTTGTCTTTATTAACAGAAGTGCATCATATTGGTGTTGATTGCATAGTTATATAAGTCAATGTTATTCACAAATCTACACACTCGATCCAATTACTAGGTGCTTTTCATATCGTACAAATTGACATGTTTTTATTTGAAGATAGTTTTGGATTCGTTTTGGAGCTGACCTATTCCCAGACTAACCTTTTATTCACATGTACACGTGTTATTGTAAGTTCCACTAAGATACAGCAGAAAAATGTCCTCTTTTCAATGTGATAAAGATAGTGTCTATAAGTTTTAACGGTAATGTAACTTGTTAATTGAATACTTACCATATCAGAGAGAGGATTCAAACCAAGCCAGTAACTGTGTTCTCCTCTGTCAGCTGCCAAATTGTGGTGTTCAATATATTTGATATTCGTCTCCCAAATAGATCGTCTTTATTTTTAAAAAATGCATTTGTTAAATTGCATTATTCTGGGATTTTTAAAGTTTTACTCTAATGACCGAAATTGATATATCAATAGAAAGATACTAGAACATACGCGGCTTCATGATTGGATTATACCACTTACGCCTAATTTTAGTAATTGTTAGTATTCGTTTTGTTATCTGATAAAGTCATGATGATTATAAGATTCACAGTTTTATCAGCTTTCAAAATCTTTCTGTTTGAACCCGTCCTGGTTTTCTTACTTGTTTTTATATTTTTCATTTTCTATATTTTGAGGATGAGGGAATCAGTTGAGTGTATGTTCATATGTTTTATTACATTGTACATATTTGGGGAGGAGATATTAACTCTCTGGTAGTAAGAGCTAGCCAGACTGGGAAACTGGTTAGGCAAATGCTCACATTAAATGTGTACCTATACAGTATGTTAAATATCCTCCTAAACACCATAACCAATTGTGGTGCTCTTATTAAAGGAGGAAGACACATAACATTCATACATACTACAACCGGAACCAACATGTGATTTATACTATTGGTGTCGGTATTGGATTTGATCCGGAAGTTGTTAATTTTTGGCAATATTTATATATAATTATGTAGAAATTGAAAAGGGTTTGGAATAGTGTAATTTTTAATATACACCGTTGTCGTAAATAATTTACATATAAAGTTGATTTCTTTGATTCGTCTTTTTTAAGGTCATGCCGTTTTACAAATTGGACTCGTTATTTTAGTGGTATAGATGTTGGACAAGCATCAATGAAAATGACTTGTTACCTTTAAAAAAATAGATACACACAAACTATTTACATGTTGTGTCAGTCACATTCCTTGAAATTTGTTTACGAACATTGTAAAATCTTTCTAAATAAGTTACATTTTAAAGATATGGTTAGAATACCAATGCGACAGATATCCATAAAGACAAAACCACAATCAACTTTTCTTGAGGGAGTTGAAATCTTAGTTTCTTAAAAATTTCTAAACGTATACAACTTACAATACTTGAAAGAGGCGCTCAAATCAAAATAGTTGGAAAGCCAAATCAAGTACAAAGGTTGAGAGCATTAAAAATAAAAACAAATTGTGCCACATACGGCTAATGCTATGCCTGGGGAAGAAAATCTTCATTATTTTGAATTTTCAGACATTAGCAAACAGTTAATGTGTACAAAATATTGTTTAAATGACATAAATGACTAAAGTGCTGACTACTGGGCTTGTAATACCATCAGGACCGAAACGTAAACAAGCAGTATTAACAAAGCATAAAACATACCAATCTTATATGTTCTCTTATAAATCGAATCAAACTTGTTGAAAGGCAAAATCAGGAAAGAAATTGAAGAACTACAAATTCATAAAAATGTGTGATAAAATACGGCTTAGATTGTCTATTCTCAGGGGAGACAACATTTTGGTTTCTTCGATAATTCAAAAAGTATGAACAGTGAATTGCAAACAAGGTATAAAAACAAACTTCATAATAACTAGAGCCTGTAATTCAATGGTTCTCCTTGGTTGCTAAATGTAATATGTATTTTTTGTCATAAATTATACCAATAAACGTTTTTTTTTTTTTTTTTTCGTTTTGCATATATTTACTTCGGAACTTTAATAGCTCGCGTTACGGTTTTCCCCATTGATGGCGGCCGTGCGGTGACCTATAGTATTTACATTCACCCTGACCTCTATGGTGGATAGCTTTCTCCTTGGCTTTCAAACCACATATCCATACTTTAAACGTTTAAGCCAGAGTCAGAACCACTTGTTAGTCCAAAGCATTCAGTGGGTGGGACTGTTTTACATACATATTAATTTTGTTGTATGGATAGTTATGCATTTGATACATTAAATTTATAATGATTCATGTATATGTAACAATCAATTTGAAAACCCTATTATCCTGATTTTAATTCATATGACAGATGTTTCGTACAACATTGATATATTACAATATTAAATGCCGCTGTTGCCATAAAGATATATTTGGCATTCTATGATCATGTTTCATGACAACATTTGTGGTTTGTTCTTTTTTCTTTTCTTTAATTTGAAAAAAAAATAAAATAAAAAAGAATCAACCTTAAATAATCTTCACTTCCGTTCTCATAAGCTTTGTTGTACGCTTTCTTAAAACCTAGCCATTCTGTATCCATGTCCTGGTTGATATGATGTAAAGCTGAACTACCAATGAACAAAACAAATAAAAGAAGAGGCTTCTGAAAGAATAAGAACTTTGAAATATCATGAATGTTTTAATGAAGTAACTCTATACAGAAGTAAATCAAACCTGAAACCTAACATAAACGAAGAACGTATTTTATTGAAAATGACAAACTCTAACAATGAATGTCTGACAAACACGATAGCTTGTAGAAGATACATTCATAACTTTCAGTAATACATCCATGTCGTTAAATGTTTTGGATTGAGCCTTCCTGATGAAGGTAAATTTACAAAACCACTACTAATGCAACAATATTAACAAGTATTATTTTATGTTCAAATTTATTCGAAAATTTGATAATTACAAAATTCTATTATTTAGTTTTTATCTAATTACGAAATAATGTTTTTAATAAATAATCAATTCAAAATAAGAAACATATTTAAAGCAAGGCCCTATTCATATGCAACATGCACAATAGCTTGATAACAAACTTGACGGCTTATATTGTTTGTATATTTCAAAATAGCTTGCTATGATCTATATACTTCTTTGAAAGGGAAATCACATTTCAAATTGTATTTCAACATTAGAACTTACCATTGTCTTAACGATTTGAAATCGCCCGCCTGTATGATTATCAAATAAAGAAATAATCGTGATAGATTACACTTTCTTTCTTATTTATAGACTTGAAACTTATCAAGGAAGTTTTAGGAACGTATGTATTACTCACAAAAACTTCCGTAATTGTATTTTATCATATGACATTGATAATATGGACTTTGTTTTACAAAAGATATTATTAAAGTTGAAAACGTTATTATTACAAAGTATCTCATAGAACAATGGTTCATGCTTATGCCAATAAAATATCAGAACAATAGATATTTGTTTCAGAAGAAGGCTTGATAAAAGGGGTTTTATCTCGTTTATTCCGAGCAATTTATACATGTTATATATTCTGATGTAATTTCTAAAAAGGTTGAATAAAAAATGATGTCGCGCAAATTATATAAATATGTAACCAAAAAAATTAAGAGGAAGTCGTGTTTCAATTTAATTATTTCGATCGAGGATCCAGCCAGTCTTATACAATAACATTTTTATAATCAAAAACTATATTTTATGAAAATATATTGCAAATATACTAAATTCCCGAAAAATGTCAAGTAAATCATTACCATGCGTAGTCCCATAAAATATTCGTGCAGTGTCTTGTCTTTTATGATTTAATGCTGCATAGCTTTATATGTTGTTTAAAATGAGAACCCGAAGCGTACCAAAGGGACTTGCGTCTGAACGATTTAAGAATATTTGGATTTTAATGTAGATCTAAGGAAAATGAAAAACGAAGACTGAAAAAAGTCCATATCTAGCATTAATGTATATATATTATAGGAATCCACCATTTGTTCCATGCTGACATTTTACTTTTTAAACAACTAGTAACTAGAGCCTGCAATATAGGATCTCCGGTTCATAGGGTGATATCTTTTTTCAAACTTAACATTGTTGGCTTATTCTTAATTGACAATCTTACAGCAACTGAACGGTGTTTTATATTAACAAATCATAGTTTTATAGCATTTAAAGGAAGGAGTGGTAAAACAGTCTTTTTTACATCCTTCACACTTATATTCGTTCACCTTCTTTGAACACAAATTCCACGTAATTCTAGTTCCTTTTGAGGAACTAGAATTACGTGGAATTCTAGTTCCTTTTTTGAGGAAAAAAAATGTTTTTTTAAACAGTGAAGTAGGTGGCGAGCGGGCGGCAGGCTGGCGGCTGCCAACAGTGTTTCTATTAACACCTTATGGACCTTTCAACCAATGCTTTTCTAATTTTGATATAGTTTTCCTGATATCCAAATTGAGGTCAAGTTCGATATTACTTTTGCTGTTCTGGTGCAATGAGCCTTGATAGATCGAAAAATTAGACAGAACATGACAGGTTAAATAAACCTGAAAGTGTTTTCAATCAGAATACTCCAATTTCATTCTTACTATCTGCAAGTTCAACAATAGTAACCTTCAAAATACAGAAAACCTGGTTTCTGTCAATTTGTCAAATCACATTTGGTCTCTACTTGTATACAACTGCGAAATTACATGTATGAATCATATGACATACAAAGTCATAGTATTAACCAGTAGCTTGACATTTAAAAGTCATTTTGTATCGCAAGTCCTGAGTGACTTGTTTTCGCGGCCTGACATCTTTAGATACCAAAATTGTCGTGTACATCAAATTTCGAAGATATAACCTTTACTATTGGAAATAAAAATACTCAGTTTATTCGAGTTTCATTGTGCATCATTGTAAATTTACTAAGACACATGTACATATCCTAACCATCATAAAATAAAAGGGTGTTGTAGTCCACTATGGTCATAATAATTATTCAAATCCAAGTATCCGCTTACCCGAATGCACGATTTGATATCTTGTTACATATAACTAATGCTTCTTGCTTAGTGCTGATCTATGTATTTTAGTGAATATAAATAGCCATACGGGGATGAACTACAATCAATTCGTTTCTTAGAAACCATGTATTAGTCTGAACACACAATCGCCTTGACAAGAAATACAGCGTTCATGAACGAATTGCATAGGATGATTATTAGATAAACGATTCAAATCTCCAATTTCCCAATCGTGTAATAGTAATCGCATTGTATGTTGATACATTAATAACTAGAAAACTAAGACAATGACTGTTTCCCAAATTCTCTACTATGACTTGGTTGCAATTTGACGAGATTTGTAAACTGTAACATGCCGCACCATCAACGAAACCGCATTGTCATTCTTCCTCTCTTAGCGACATAACTGAGTAAATACAAGTATCATAATATCAATAATTTTATCATTTATCTTCGAAGTAAAATCTTTATTTTAGAAATTAGTAAATTAACAAAAATACCAAGGAAAATTCAAAATGGAAAGTCCTTAAAAATAACAAAATGAAAAGTTCCAAGACATCAAACGAACGGAAAAAACTGTTATTTTCCTGACTTGGTACAGGCATTTCCTTATGTAGAAATGGTATTTTAAACCTGGTTTGATAGCTTGCTAGACCTCTCACTTGTATGACGGTTTATTCATGTTCAGGCATTCCATTTTTTTACAACAATGTGTGAGAAAAACAAACAAAAATGTCACAAAATGTAGAAAAGGATAATCGAGTCCGTTACGGATAGACGCGATACAGTTGATTATACAAATTAAGGCAACAGTACTTTTCTGATTTATAATTCTCGTAAATCGATTAGGAAGAAACTAATCAATGTAACCAACAAATATCAAAGTAATTCATTCATACATGAATGTTTTTATATTTGAAATCTTTATCAATAGATATTATGACAGATCTGCCATCATCAGGAGTACAAAAAAACTATTAACAAAATAACGAACACAAGGTAAATTCAAAAGACAATAAAACCTGACAAAATCAAACACTTGACTATATCAACCAAAGAGAACAAATTGAAATCAACTGTCATATTCCTGACTTGGTACAGGTATTTTCCGAAAAAAAGTGGGTTAAACGTAGTTTGATAGTTAGCTCTATATCTCACTTGAATGGCAGTTGTTCACAGTTTCGTTATATTGACAAAATTATTCAAGCCGCGTGCAGAGAGTGTGTCACGCTTTCTGTACTTTACGAACCATTGAATCGACTCTTTGAGGGGTCCTAATGTGGCCTGTTGCAAGGAAAAGTTTTTGTCCTTATCGAATATACCCTAATTATTAAGTGGCAGTCTAACTTTACCCAACCTTCATGACGGATAGCCTCTATTACAGGAAATACCTATTGCATCTTTTTGTTAATTTATTCTTACACGAACTTGCATGACATATTTGCCACATGACGTTAAATAACCAACAATCAATCAATATAAGAACGATATTTTATCGTTTGAGGTTTCAAAGAGAAACTTCATTAAGGGGTTATTATCATTTGCAAGACAAAAAAATATTTACTTTCATTTAATGTTACATCCATTATATATTATTAATCCGTCGTTTCTGTATACTTGCCATGATAAATGTTTTTTTTATGTTCAAATAGAGAAAAAAAAGCATTTGCTTCATTATTTCAAGTGTTAGTATGTCACAGATTTCCGGTGAAAAGTCCGTACCTATTTGTTTTTACATTATCCAATCAAATTCAAACACATTTTTTATTGGAACACGTTTCAACGGATGTACTGATTACAGTGACAGGAGGAGAACTGACTCTGAAGTTTAATTTGTCTCAAAATAGTCATAGGCTCGTTCAACGGCACTTAACAGAGCAGCATAAGGAAGTTTGTAAAAAATTGTGTTTTATCAGCAACAGATTATTTACCATAGGTTTAAATTTATGAAAGATGTAGTACAAATAACTGTCAATTTTATGTAAAGTCATTAATTTGTTTTGTATAATAAAACACCAATGCAACCAGGCATCGCATATTGACTGATAGGAACCGATGCTATTTTTTTCTTTCGGCAGAAAATTTGAATGTCATCAAAAGATAAATAATATTTATATGGTCAAATATAAAAAGTATGCATGCATATGTTGATACATTTATCTTTGAATTCTTCATCAATATAAAACAAACATATGTAGTGTCGATGTCAGTCGTTCTACCCTCTGTTGGACAGCTTTTTATAAGGAAGTATATGAAGTCTAGTATACTGTGAAAATGCACAGGCGTAACGTAGTAACTTAGTTATTTTAGCAACATACGATGGAGCAGATGGTATGTTACTAATGTGAAATTGGAAGTTGATAACTGAAAAATGGAAATCATAACCTTGTCATAGATTTAAGTTTCAAGTCGTCTATCGGTATATCGATGAAAAAATCAAGATATGAAGCAGGTTTGAAGGGGCCTTCAATTGCTAAGGCGGTGTTTTCGGTTCCTTCCAAAAAGATTGATAAAAGTCAGAGTTTGAATAATATCTGGCAGTGGATATTAGTAAGATATATAATATTGATGGTTATTTGTCGTATATAAATTGAAATTGAATCTGAAAAGATGTCACAAAAGGCTAATAAAAACCAAAATAAACATCCCATTGAAAATAATGAAGGCAAGATGGCCGACGAAAAAACTCAAGGGGAAACATACTCGTCTGCAGTAAAAAAACCTTTGTTATTGATAGTGTGCTTTCCACTGTCAAACCTGTATTCTTATTAGAAAATGATATATTTGGATTAACAAAACCAAGCAAGGAACAGTTCATAATACCTCTAGAACTCTATAGAACTATTGATTGCAATATATGTCCAGGTAGCCACCTTAAAGGACTCCAAAGAGTTAGAGGTCTTTGGAAAGTATATTTTGATAATGACACAGACAGAAAATCGATGATTTCAAAGGGGCTTTGGGTTAGAGACAAAACTATCCCAGTGTATACACGCAACCCTAGAGTCATGGTAAATGAAAATCCAAATCATTTATAAATACGTGTCAAAAATGTACCCTGTTTACCTGATGATGGACAAATTGAACGCGCATTAGAATACCATGGGTGCATTGTGCACAAATCGTATCGAGAAGGCCTTCGTGTAGCTGGTGAGCTGACTAATTGTCAAACAGGGGATAGAATTGTGATGTGTGATCCTGTCAGCGAACCCCTGCCAAGATCTATGCTAATAGGCAAATATGTTGCTACAGT